TAAAAACCTATCTACGTCATAGCTTCATGGAATTTCATGATGAAGTCATAGCAAAGTAAATTGTCCCAATACAGTTTTAGAATGAAACAGATATGTGTTGGATTAATCTCCTTCCCTTTTCATCTGATCCATTCAATTAAAACATGATATGTATCTGCAAATATGCATTTATTCAGACATATATCCTTATTGTACATCAGTGGTACAATCAACTAGTTTAATATATTGACAGTTGATTTTGATCTTTGTATAGAAAAATGAATAGTTTTAGATTAACATTCATCCTAAACTAAATATGAGCTAAAACATATTGTATATGGATCCTATGTCCAATAGATTATAATGATATCACCTTGGACTAACTAACGAAACGAAAACCAGCAATGAAATAAAAGGACAAACTAAACTATTCCTCTGCGCTCCAAACCTATCAACTAGAGAAAGACGACAAGATTCAGCCAAGAAAATATATAACTCTACAAGTACCACATGGTTTATTACACAGAAGACAATTATAAACCAAGCAAAGCTTCAAATTACTTCAAGATTTCGAGTAAGGTCAATAAGCCCATAAATTTACACTCTTACATCATTTCGTCGGTAAAATACATGATTTCTTTAGAAGAATACACCGATCTTTAAGTTAACTCTGTTTGTGATTAAACCAACCAAAGCATTAGATATGGCGAGCCTAGAAATCGGTAAAAAAGTTTGTGACCCAATAGTTCAATATATCCTATTTAATAGTTTGTTTAAACAACACGTTCTGTCCATTTGATCATTCTATTTCCGTAAGTCTAACTTATGAATTCCTTTCACTACTGGAAGCAAAATATCATACACAGTACTGTTCAACTACTCAGTAGTTGATGATTGAGATTCAAAATTAATTATAGACTTTTATATATTCTTTGAGAAAATTCTTCTGTTGAATTAAATATTCAATGAATTAGTACGTTTATAATAAAAAGGCGACTTAATTTGAAATAGGCGAAACTAAAATTTTTTGGACGAACCAATCACGTACAAGATAACAGGTCTCAGAGTTTGGCGCGAAATTCACTCATCCATTTGGTTAAATAAAGTTTTGGTATTATAACTGATGTCAGTTTGTGATGAACACCCTAAATATAATTTCTAACCTTAATCATCAACTGTAAATTATAATTCTAATTCTTCACGCAGGGTTATAACCATCATTTAGTCCCGGTTATCAGGTGGATACTCTCAAGGTCAGTCTAGCGTCACTCGAAGGTCGGCCATCAATTATAGTTTCACCTTGATGTTAGACCACCACTGAAGACCTGGAAGCACTGGACGGCCGTTTCGTTCCATTGTGGGACTTCTCAACAGTGCGCATCCACAATCCCGGTCGCGAGATTCGAACCCAGGGCCTTCAGTCTTGCGCGCGAACGCTTAACCTCTAAACCACTTAGTCGGCATTCGATAGTCTTAATGTCTAACTTCAATCCACGAAATCGAGCCACCGTCCACTATTATCTTCAATTAGTTACTATCTTACAACAGACCTGGTTGGACTCCACTGGTCACAATGTTTGACGTAGATTCAGTGTTTGCCAGTACTTATCAGAAAGACATATTTACGAACCTAAAAACATTGCTGCTCTCTCAAACCAGTGCCAACTAGCAAGTTCATAAATAGAAGTGAGTTAGTATCAAAAGACTAAACAAATGTGGCATTGGTTACAACGCAGTGATCAATCAATTGAACAGATCGCTATATATATATATATATATATATATATTACTGCGTAATCTTCTCTGACTTACATTCATCAACCATTAAAGCTGAACTAAACAGAAATATATTTCAATATTTTAAGTGGTCTAGAGGTTAAACGTTTGCGCGCGAGACTGAAAGCCGTGGATTCAAATACCGCGAGCAATATCGTAAATGCGCACTGCTAAGGAGTCTCACAACGATAGGACGAAATGGTCGTCCAGTGCTTCCAGGTTTTTAATGATGGCCTAACATTAATCAGTTCATGATCTCAATCACAAACCTAATAATCTCTATAACCCTATACTTATAAAACCTGAACTTTGTCAATTATCTATCTATCTATATGATTCTTTTATGATGAATCAATCAATTCAAGTTCAACTAAGGTCTAGATCATCAATTCTTAAATGTTGACAATGATTCAATCAATTAGAAACTGTGCATTATTCATTCTATTACATATTCTTCTACTACATATCTTGTTTGTTTGTTTGTTTTTCTTACTACCCTCATTTTATTAAGAATTTTTCATTCACTACTACTAATTATCAATTTATAAATAGTAGAATAGAACAACATTATGACATAATAGAAATTTGATGTTTATTGTTTCATCTATTTCAAAATGTTGATTGTCATAGAAAACAATCAAACAAACAAACAGTAAACAAGTGAGACTTTTGCACATTGCTCAAGCTATTACAATCCATGTTCACAAACCTAGCCTTTGCACTTAAACGAGGTTTGTACAATCATTCTCGTTACCTTGGCCATCAGTATAATAGGGCAGTTTCTTACCAGAACTATGATAAACTATTCCCGTATTTCTTCAGTGATTTTTTTGTATTTTTTGTATTTTACTTATTCTCAACATTCATTTTTTGATTCTTACATAACTACTATATTACTGACGATTCATCAAAATATTCCGTGTCGGGTAGAAACAGGTGTCTACCTCATTACAATGGAAGATCGTCGCGCAACTTCGTGGACTGGTTGAGGTTAGACATTAACACTGTTGGATACCGCGTTCGCGCGCAAGACTGAAGGCCCTGGGTTTGAATTCCTCTGCCGGGGTTGTGGATGCGCACTGTTGACAAGTCCCACAATGGGACGAAACGGATGTCCAGTGCTTCCAGGTTTTCAATAGTGATCTAACATCAATCGGTCTATAATCTCAAAAAAAAAGTATTCTGTCTCCTTTCTTTTTTATATATTATGCAACGTAGCAACTGCTTGATTTTCAAATAATTACTTTGATCATGATTACTTCTCTTTCTTCCAATTTATAATCGATATGTCATTACACAATTATTACGTAACGTATCCACTCGATCAGTATTATTTCATTTTTGCAAAAAATTATATATATAGGAAATGATGTTTGAAGTGGATAGGACACACATTACGGAAATCATTTAAATGCATCACAAGGCAAGCGTTAACTTGGAATCCTAAAGGGAAACGAAAAAGAGGAAGGCCAAAGAACACACTGAGTCGGGGATCGGAAGCAGACATGAAAAGGATGAATAGCAATTGGAAACAACTGGAAAGGATTTTCCAGGATAGAGTTGGATGGCGAGTGCTGGTGATCGGCCCATGCTCCTCCATGAGGGTTAACAAGCATAAGTAAGTAAGTGTAATCTTGTTTATTTAATTAAAGATACGAAATTTCAATCATCCTTTCAACTCAACATAGAATTTAGTCTTAATTTCTAAACAAGATCTAAAGTGAATCTTACTAATATTCTACAAATTATTTTCAATAATTCTAAACTAAAATATTATAGGAATTGAGTTCAAGAGGTATTTTCTGGAGTTCTAGTGAGAGGCAGTGACCAAGGGAGTTCAACCGGATCTGTCGTGAGATAGCAACTCACTGAAAACAATGATGGATGTGTCGCTCAATTTCGTGAATTAATTGAAGTTAGACATTAGTACTGCTGAATGCCGGCTTAGTGGTCTAGTGGTTAAGCTCTCATACGCGAGACTGACAAGTCCTAAGTTCGAATCTCGCAAGGCGGGATCGTGGATGTGCATTGTTGATGAGTCCCACAGTAGGACGAAACTGCCAGCCAGTACTTCCAAGTTTTTCATGATGGTCGAGCTTCAATTGACTCATGATCTCAACTACTAAAATTACTAAAATGTCCACAAAACCCCCTCTGATATGTAAAATTATAAAGTATTTTCAATGATGCCTATTGAATAATTGGTCGTATATAGAAAATTATATTCCTATGAAATATTATGTTTCTTTCTCATGTTTGTTTGTTTGTTTGAACTGATCAAATTAACGATCACATATAAGTAGTATTTGTTGTATAATAAAACATGTTTATTATTTAAATAGTAAATTTTCCAAAAAGAATGTCAGACAATGAAAAATATGAAACACTCAGGAGAGCAGCTAATTCGATTCATACTAGACTTATTATCTGGATATACCTGATATCTGGTGACAGTGTCTTTACCTAGATATTACTTATTGCTCCAAACGTCAACGTGTTGTTTTGCTGCTGAAAACCTAAACGATAAGTATTGGATCCGTTTTTCCGTATGAATAACAACATTTGGATGAAAGCACATCTAGCTAGTTAGTCCCGAATTAGACAAAACAAGCATCTCTGATACTAATATCAGCTAGAATTCAAATAACCTAAAAGTTAATATAGACTAAATTCATTGTTCTTCTAAAGTCATCTTTATAACTCACGTTATTACTGTTCTAATCATTATATAGAATGAAAGATTGATAAAGGATAACACCAATTTCTGGGGAGTTAAGTTACATAATGAATTAAAACAGTTTGATTGGGAAAACACTTATACATTTCAAAAAGTACAAAAAAAACAAGTACAATTCAACGGAGGATATGGCCAGTGATATTCTGAATGATAGGTTAGCGAAAGTAATTAGCAGGACATTCTACGCAGTCAATCTTGCGTTCACCTTCTTCAGTCGACCAGAGATGTCTACTCAAACGAAGGATAAGTTACCTGAGTTGGCCTCCTCAATGTGCATCTACAAATTCAGCTGCTCCTGTGGAGATAGCTATATCGGGCATACTATCAGGCAACTTAACCAACGAATGAGGGAACATCTACCAGCCTGGTTTATGAAGGGATAAATAAAAACAATACGCAATTCTATCTTAGCACATCTTATTGATAGCGGTCATAATGTAGATAAATCCGAAGAATACTAATAATTCACAATAAATACAATGAAAACAAATACAAACTGAATACTTACTTTTTATAAATCTTTTAATATACCATAATCTATAAACAATCATAAGACCAAAGATTTCAGCAAATGTTGAAGCTGTATCCGCTTGTGAAGTAATATGTAAATAATTACATAATTCTAAAACTTTTGATGATGTAATCCCTCTTAATGATCGACTAGAATGTCGATAAATATTATAGATATCTAATGAGAAACAAACTGCACACACAAGACCATCTATAATAAATAATAATTGACGACCCCATTGACGAATTCCCATAGCCCATATTTTAAATGGAACTTCCACAACAAATAATGTCAATGTAAATAAACTTAAACATTCTAAAGCTAATTGACCTTCTAAAATTAATCGTTGAGTATTTCCGGGCTGAAGAAAAAGAAATACACATAAAGTAAGACAATGATCATTAAGTAGTAATTGAACAACATAAACAATTACTCACAAACTAAATCATACATTAATCTATGTAGTGTCGAAGTTACTATAAATTTTATAAGAACAAAGAATTACTCATGTCTAGCACGCCTTATCGCTAGTACTCTACATTCTTATAACCTTTTATACTATGTATATAGAGTTAAAAGTTAACTCAAATAACTATCGAATTATCCCATAGTTAATATGTAATTGATAAAGAGTTACATATCACAACTATACTAATCTGTAATATTGTTGTGTGTGTGTGCTACTGATGTCGATAGATATAAGTAGTATGTATCATCAATCGAAAGTGAAATGCCTGGAGGCAGAAGATTAAGAAGATCAAAAAACAAAAAGAGAACGAGGACAAAAAATGACTAATGTGAAATCGAAAGACCAATGAAGTCTGAGACAATTGATTGACGTTTTGTAAATAAAGGTTTTACTGTACGGTTCTCAGTTTTTACTAGGATGTTCTGTAATTTTGTATTCAAATATATTTGATTGTCACCACTTGTGTTCTCGTTCACGACTATATTAATTTTATTAAAAGAGTTTGTTTCTTTATAGTATTAGCAAATCGCTGACATATATTAACCAGCTTAGTTAACACCATTGGATGCTGACTCAGTGATCTAAAGGTTAATCGTTCGTGCGCGAAACCAATAGATTCTAGGCTCGAATCTTGCGAGGCGGGATCGTGAATGTACATTGTTGAGGAGTCCCACTATAGAACGAAACGGCTGTCCAGTGCTTCCAGGTATACAAGTGATCTCTGATTTCCAATGGTTCCTCAGGTAGAATCGGTTTAGTATTAAAACTTTATAAACTTATAGATTTCCAATCAGAAACCTCTCAGATAACCAAGATATAGTATTAACCTATTTTCGTTAGTAATTTAGGCACGGAACATATGAAAATACCATTAAAACTTAATAATCATTAAGAAATTAGAAAAAAAGTGCAGTGAGTAATTAAACAGCTAGGATTTACTGTCGATGAATCATCTTATTAATGAATATTATTGGGTCATTTGAATACGACATCCATGAATTAATGCATTCTTTCTTCAATGTGGTCTCGTCGTAATCTTTGAGGGTTTAAATCTTCTGCATGTTGATATTTATCAATCGATGTGACCAGACCTATGTTGGTAAACAACTTCTAAATATGTATGAATCAGTATAGCTTGGATTTATGTCTTCATTATATGATAAAAACATTATTCTAAACAGTACTATAAGAGATTACAATCGTTGCAAAAACTGTATAATGTTATCTATTCTACAAATATTACATACTTACAGGTAAACGTAATGATTCTGTTTCCAATATCACTCGACATAATACTAATAATGCTTCAAAACCTGTCAATCCAATAACTGATAAATAATATTTTCTCATATTAAACACTTGTTTTAAACGTTTCCTAGCTAATGTACATTTTCCAGATGGTCGCGTTTTTGCCCGTGAATGTGGTACATTATTAATTAATTCCTTATTAGATTCATCCATTGTTATATGCATGTTATTTAATACATATGAAAGATGTATATATATGTATATGATTGTCTGTATTTTATTGGACAGATTGCACCATTAAATCTGAAATGGAATAAACCAAAGATAACGAACTCCAAAAATGACCTGTATATTTTTTACTTACAGCACGGGATAACCGAGTTGTACTCAGTGTTAGATTCTTTTGAACTGTTAGAGCTAATCAAACTCTACTAAGCAATTAAACCGGCTTATTTGTCAGCACCAAGAAGTAGACAAAACATAAGTCTAAACACTTTTCGATAATCAAAAAGTGTATTCATTTTAAAGTAAGCACCAATCTTTGTTCTTGCTCTCTTTAAGATAATAAAGGGAACTATATACATGACATGTACATTTTTGTCCTACAGGAATTAAGTTACCTCAAACACAAACGCGAAACACTTCAATGTTAAAAACACTGGTTCATAATATCAGAAAAGCTCAAGGCTTGTGTTACAAATAGTCACTTATAAAACAGTTCAAATGTAACCAAAACCATGAACATATTCTATACACGTTTTATTCACGAATACGAGTTTCACTATGTGATAAGTACAGATATATATTTCCCATTACACTGTGTTAACCGCTTTAAAGATATTCACTCATTACTTAAAATATACTATATCATATTGGAAGGTTATATCATAAACTGACTTATACTAGTCAAACAGTGAAAAAACAAAGTACATGACATGTGTTTCATGATACTATAAAACTTTTCAACAGTCAAAATACACGATTTCCTCAAAGATTTTACTTCACTTGAGGTAATTTTATACTGTCAACTAACTTTCTTTTAAACAATCTCTACAAAGCTTCAATTCATCTGTTTTAAATTATCAGCCTAAAATCGGTATTGTTTTCACAAACGTATTAGTTCGTATATCTTAACAATTATATAATGGAAATAAAAACTGATATTGGATAGTTTAGAAAATAAGCGAGAAATAATTCTTACCGATAAAACTATATGAAATAGTCATTGAACAGAAAATCAAATATTTACCATTTCTATATTTAATCTTGTCAAATATGTATAAAATGAATGTGCATATTTCATAGAAACTAGATGTGTTTTTTTCAAAATATATACCACTCAATGTAAGATAACTATGAATCAGTTAAAATGAAACAATATTTGTGTTTTCATAGTCCAATTGAAGGTATTTGTTTATTTCTTTACAATATATGCTTGTATGTATTCTATTTCTTTGTTTGATTGGATGTATATTCATATTAGTGTCTATACATACATATATGACAATATTTTGATCGATAAAAGGGTAACAGTTTAACATTGTTTTCTTATTTTTATAAAACTCAAGTATAAAATTTATTTCATATAACATACTATATTGTACAATTGTTGCATGAATGTTGGTCTAGTTTATAAATACTAAACCATCATAATTGTAAGTTAAAACTTGGAATAGATTCACAATTTTACATCATTGCGATTACTTACAAATATGTAATGCTATTTATATTTTTATTGAAGACATTATAATTCGATTTGGCATAAAACTAACAATAAAAGTTTTGTACATATTATCTTTAATATAATTGGATTAAAAATAATCCGTTACCTGACTTAACGGTAACTTTCGAGATAAAACAGAACAAATGTTGTCTGTTCAGCTAAAAAACTCATTTTGATGGTACACGTGATGATAAATTTTTAAGTAAGGCAAGTACCACAGCGGCTACTCGGTGTTCTAATTTCGACTAACAGTGTAGATTATAACATTGATTTAGCAGTGGGGAGTGACTAATATCATGTTCAGCTACTAACCATTGATAGTCAATTTTTTCAGACTAAGCCACTCACCAGTTCAAATGGCCTAAATCTACATTATGATGCTATGGGATTAGAGATAACCTGCAGAATGCCGTGGACGTAAATTTTGAATTGGTTTCAACCTGTCTGTAAAGTTTTAGTTTAGTCTTTTGAAAACTAATACTATGTAAAAAGTGTATCAAAATCTGTCAGTTGAACAGTCCTGAAACTAGTCAATCAGCAAACTACGTCCAGGATCCTCAAGTGTACGATTTGAGGAAGCTTAGCAATAGATGAATTATGCTTTTAGCCACTCATTATACACGTAAGCAAGTATTCCAGGATTTACCAATACATCTTAATGGTTCCATTGTTGAAATTTATTGAATAGTGGAGAAGTAAAATCGATCATCAGTTAAGTGCTCCTCATTTTCAGAAATTTATTTCTTGGTAAAGATCATGTATAAACTCGCTACAACTACACGATCAATCAAAACAAACACTTTCATTAAAACGATATGGAGGTACAACGAGCTAGGCTTTGTAATGAGTTACAATAGGTAGTTGTTTACAGATTAGTATATGTTGTAAAATTTCTGAACACAATGGCCAATCAGCTGCCTGAGTTTATCATAGAACATGAAACAGTCCTCATAGAATCAATTCCCTTTCAGTCGTTATTAGTAAGCCAGGTCAAATGCCTGCAAGAAAAAACAGATACATCAAGATTTCAAAACTCTTTTGCTGCTAACAACGAAATAGAACAGAACTCGGATTTTTAGATTCTGGTAAATAGTAACTATGAAAGTGAAATAAAATAATTGTTTAACAAGAGGACTTATAAGATACAAGCAACATAACAAGTAAAAGCTGCATTATGACTACAAAACTAATGTTTAAAAAGCACCAAACAAGCATCACTACTAATTAGGAAAGATATGCGAAATTTTGTTGCACATGTGGCATCTTGAATGTATGCCAACAATGCATGGTAATCTCTAGTATTTCTTAAAATAAAGCTGGATTCAAGACATAGGCCAGGCTGTCTCCGTTGGAGAAAACATAATTAACTGAGACAAATAGTTAGAGGTTTACGAAATTTTCGTGAAAGCCTGTTCCTGTGGGTGGTTTTTCTCACACTGACTTTGGTCATCTAAGAAATACTGCCTTCTTTTGATTTAATTAGTGGGTAAATGTTCCATATTACCTTGACTAATACTGTCTTTAATTCATACGAATTTATGATTGGGTTTATAGTCATCTTAAAAATGGGAAGTTCTGAGAGCTTTTTATCAGCAATATTAAACCAAGAGCGCCTCAAAAACTTTTACCTTTTAACCAGTAATACTTGATAGTTAATCTGTGATTACATCCGAGCATTTTTACCATGTAGTAAATTTTATTTGGGATATGGCGAACGATTACATGCATTGTCGCTTGATTTGCACATCTTTTTACTCACTTTAATTAGATTTAAACAGGGACGCTTTTTGAATTCTGCTCGTCGTAGATGCGTATTTGTCAAACAATTCGCAGCTTTTGAACATAGATATTATGTATAGCGTCAGTACTCTAAAAATATCAGATGCACCATAACTACCGTACATTCAACTATTTCAAAATTCGCCCCGTAAGTATATACTTATTAATATATGTTACTGATCATTTATATCACAAGCAACGACACAACATGAAGTAGTTCGAACCTCGTTCTAGTTCCGTCACCCAACAGAATCTAACTATAGTTTGATCAGGAGAGCGTAGAGTCTGGTTACCGTAAAAATTTCAGACCAAAATAAAAACAACGTGACTGATCAATAACTACTTCAAATCTGAATATCAGAAACAACACTACTTTGAAAAGAAGCTAAGAAAAACTCACAAGCTGAGAAAATCATTTATTTAGGCATTCAATACAATATAAGAAGAGAGGGTTGAAGCATTAGGTTATTACCAACTAACCACGAACTCATGTATGACTTTTGAATATGTTCGATCATCTCAAGGTCAAAGTTTATAGCGTTTCAAATGGTTCAAATGGTTGTGGACGGAATAGAAGAAGCTTTCGCTTAACAAGCTTCCGTATCTAGTAGCAGTGGATCACCAATACCTCCAGGCAGGAACCCATGTATATCAACGATAAAAGAGGAAAAAATGTAAATCATAGTAAGATGATAACCTTAGTTCTTAAGAATGGATCGAGTTTCCTCTTAAAGGACTCCTGAGAAGTCGCCTGGACTAACTCACCCGGAAGCAAATTCTGGCATTCAACAACTCTTAAGTAGTAGAAATCGCGTCTCTAGTTTCTGGGTGTTAGGTTTGTGTTGGGGCTAAGCTCAAGTCGATGTTTAAGAGTATGTCCAGAAGTGTTAAGGATACTTTAAGCCATCAGAAGGTCATCTCTAAGATGCCAATACTCTAATAAGCAAAGATTTAGTAAATGGAGGCGCTATTCATTAGGCTTGAATTTGAGTCATCGAATTGATTTCGTGGCTCGCCGTTGGATATGTTCTGGAGTATCCTTATCCTTTTGGAGTGAGGGAGGAAATACTGTTTCCGTACTATAAATGGAGGCGAATAAAACTGTTGAAAATTATGTCGAAATTTCTTCCGTCAAACTAGCCAGAAATGTGCTTCAATGTTACCAGTGCAAGGTTTGCTCGAAAGACATTTTTTCATAGCCAACGTAAGACTTCAAATCGCAGGGTACCAGCACTCTTGAATCCTTATCAACTTGGGACACTTCTAGAAAGGAGTTTCCTAAGTCGTAACCGTGGTCTGCAACATGTCACAAATGAACTGCTTCACACTTTGAAGTGTTAGAGGTAAGTCTGCTGTCATCTGCTCAACTTTGAAGTCGAGTCAGACCCTCCTGAAGTGCCAGTATATCCCCTTGGTTGCACCTCTCTCCAAAGTTTCACATCATCAGCAAAAAGTAATAAATCAGGTGATAGCTGTTGTAGAAGATCGTTTATATCAATTAAGAAAAGAAGAGGTCCTAGTGCTGAGCCCTAGTGGATTTCAATAGGACATTCCATAGCCTGAGAGAAAGTAAAGTTAACCCTGACTTCAGAATGTCAATTTTTTATATATATGAAGTGAGCTAGTCAATCATTTGAGCTTATTGTTAGGACATACATGTTTGGCCGTATCAAAAGCTTCTGATAAGTCAAGGTAAATAACTTCAACCTTCTCCAGGTTTGTCATACAAGAATAACCCTTGCTGATACCATGTTGTTCGGTGTAAACAAATTTATGGATAATAAATAATCGTGTATACCATAGCACATCAGGGACTTCATAACTTTTGCAGGTATAGAGAGAGGGGGCACTGGTCAGCAACTCGAAGGTTCGCTGAGTCGACCACCTTTAAAAGTTGGTGTGATGTGAGCCAGCTTTCAAATTTCCAGTAGTTTGCCTCGGCTTAGCAAGTGTGAGAACATCACTTTAAGCGTTGTTGCCAGGATTGAGGCTGCTTCCCTCAGTATAGCAGAGTGAACCGTACCCGGGCAGTTGCAGATGAAGCTTTCATCAGTAAAGTTGATGTGGGTCGGTTGAAATGTCCAGAAGTATTATTCAGCCAAAAGGTTCGTGACGTCACCGTCGTTATTGGTCGGGCCATTAGAACCTAGCAGTTGGGAAACTCCAGTTTTTGCTTATCGAAGAGAGACTGCATAACGGAATAAGCTTTTAGGATTGGAGACAAACTTATTCATAAGCTTTACCTGGTACTGAAGCCTGTCTTCTCTTATTGTCTTTGTGCATATGTTCCTTATATGTTTGCATTGCCTTTACGCGCCAATGTTATCAGTTCGTTTGTATTCTGCCCAACAGTGTCTTCGGCGGCTTATCAAAAGAAGAGTGAGGTTCTTGATGATCGTAGGTTGCTTGTAGATTTGGAAATCCTTCCAGCACATGATTGTCGTACTCAATGTCAGCAGCGGGCTTGATGTGAATGACTTCAAGGTGGTAGACAATCTTACTGAGCACCATACGGATTCATTAAGATTGATGAATTTGTAGAATTATGGTGTACTATGATATTAGTACTGCTCTAATAATAAACCTAGTCCTAAACTTGTCGATTTGTCATGATATAACTGCCTAATCTATAAGATTCTTGATTGGGCACTTGATGTGTCTCCAGCTAGGATCGTAAGTACAAGGCTACTCCACCCCCAATTCCTGTTTTTCTGTCATTGCGAAACAAAGACATCCCGGGTATTGCTAGTTCCTGGTCTGTAACCTGAGAAGATATCCAAGTTTCAGATATTCTTATCAGATGAGCATTATTAACATGGCCCAGATCACGTAGGTCATCCATTTTATTTGACGAACTCGCGGCTTTCATGTATAAGCAGTTTATGGTTTCAATTCTCCTTCCTTTTGCCTGTATGAGCCTTATTTGAATGGACAGGTAGCCTACCTATACAAGGTTTTCCGAGTTGATAGCCCCTGTCCTTTTAACGTTTTTTATGATCGAGAAAATTCACAAGTGCAGTGGTTAGCTCCAACTTGCCTTTGAGCTTGATCCTTGCGTCATGTGGTCTTGTAACGGCTTAGATGCATATAGATTCCAGTTGGCAACCGACGTCTGTTGGAACGAAATGTTTTCAGATTTGCAGCTGCCATATGTAGGATAGGAAAGTTATCTTCATTAGCCGCGGTTTACAATCTCCGTCCTCCTTGGGTAGTCTTGTCACTTGTTGAGTCAGTATGTTTTCAGGCTTCAAGCATTGCTTGATGAATTTCCATTCCTTAATATCAGAGTTTGTGTGAACAGGATCCGTGTTTTCTGGTACACCTTGCAAAATGATATTACTTTCGCGGAGGAACTTCTCGCGAGATTCTTTATGGATGAGACTGCGCTCAGAATACGGTATGCCGGGCAGTATTCTTACGTTCCCATCAGATTTCAATCAGTGACTAGCTAGTAGGATGAGACACGAAGTAGCATCGGGTGATTTTTCCCCGAGTGAGTCGTGTGACCGTCAAAGGCCCTATTCTTGGAAGTTCAAGTTTCTTGTTTAACTCTACACAGGGCATCCTGTCATTTTCGTTCTGCAAAGTGAGGGAAAGATCAGGGATGTCTTCAAAGTTCATGATTATGAGAGAATCGTCACGAACCGTTATTGTCTTCCCAGGTTTCCCGGTGCGCTCAGGTTTAGGACCTTGTTGTTTGGAGGTCGAAGCGAGGTCCCGATTCCTAGGTTCCTTGATGACCGGACGGACATTCTTGGGAATAAACTGTAAGTCCGAATCGTCAGTCGATTTCCGCACAATTCTTGGGACGTTTAGCTTCTTAAACGGTGACGCTCGATCCTTTACAGCTTTGGTAACGATGGTCCAATCACCTACAAGGTTTTGGGAACCACCGTTGCATTTATGGACCCTGTCTGTTCTACTTCTCATCCTTCACTTTTCACCTCTTTATTAGCATTCTTGTGGTATATCACAGATAGCATATGTTGAACATATGAGTTCGTCCTGCACCGTTGCACACTGAATTTACATGGGGTCATTATCAAGAAGCACCAAATAATGCGTCAATGTCACCGAACGACTGCTCTGAACCTTAATTTTATTCATTCTCTAACACCAATTGCTTGTTACGATGCGGCCTTAAGGAAACGCGATATCTCTCGTATTGGACATTGGAGTCTTACTAACATCCATATTATAATGTTTGAAAATTTATTATCTGCTTATATAACAAAAATGCCTTATAACATATCAGCCTAACTAAGTAACTTATTAAAGCGAATCCTGTAGCATTTGTACCAATTTGATCATACCTGTAAACTGATATGCCTCATGTAGCATATTGTTTTCTGAGAAGATATGTAATTAGAATCACTTTAAATATCCAACAGACTACACTAGAAGCTGGATACGTCATCACATCCCCGTCGTTCTACGTTGAAGCTGATGCTATCTAAAACATCTGGGTCAAAACGCCTGAGCGACTCATTGAAGACGTTGGGTCGATAATGACTCTGCACGAGTGAGCGATCCCTGGCTATAGATGTGTCATACAATGAAGTTTCCCAAAGGATTCCCACTTGTTTCCAAGAATCACAGGCATTAGAACACTTATCTTTGCCACTATAATGATAAACCGAATCCCAAAATCTTGGATTAATAGTTGTGTGACTACCTCATCTATAATATCTTCCGTAGACGTCACCTTAAATATTCTTTCATGAACATCGGCTGCTCTGCCTCTCGCTCTTTCATTTACTTGTTCTTTTCTTCAGCCCACTTGAGATATAAAACGGGTGACTTCATCCTACACCATCCTCAAAGCCTTAGACATTCCAAAGGGACGTAAGGTTGCGACATTTAGAAGCTCCCACTTTCAATGGATCTATCCTTGACCATCAGTTGCACATTTGTAACTCAACTTTCATGAAGCGCGCCAACTGTGATACTGATTGATACCATTTACATTCATATCTTATAAATTATCAACCCAGCCATGCAATTTACTACAGTGGATATTGTATCATTTGTATCAATTTGATCTTGCCTGTAAACTGGCATGCCTCATGTAACAAACTGTTATTTGAGTATAAATTATTATTATTATTATTAAGATGTTTGTGAATAATAATAATAATAATAATAATAATAATAATAATAAGGAGCTTAAAGAGAAAGTAAGAAGTTTACGGTCAATAAAAAGGGTTAATTCACAGCATTTGGTATAGTGTTGAAAATGCCGCACAGCACAATATATAGCTAGGATTTGCCTGCCGAACGTGCTGTACGTGGATTCAGTGTCTATCAACCGTCTAGAGAAAAATGACAAAGGTTGCCAGGAAAGGTGAGCCCATTGTTGTAAGACTCCTCCGATTGCTGAGCCAGATGCGACAACTGCGATACTAATGGGTACTTGGGTGTCC